TTAGCAAGTTTAGAACTCCTCGATGAAGTTTCAAGTTATTTGTTTAATTTGAGTTATGATATAATATACAAAACTAATATAATATGTTCCGTAACAATTGCATTTACTTGACATGAATCACGTCAATTTGTGTTCATTTAATGTACACGATCGTTAAAGAAAAATAACAACATAAGCAGAAGGAACCAAGTTCTATATCAAGTTGTAAATAGTTTTTGTTTTAAATAATTTATTCAATACTTTCATTCTTTGCATCTATCTTTAAGTCTGTCTTGTTTGTAAAAAAATCGTAAGTAATCTAAAACTGTAGATATCTTTTATTGATAGTCATAACATTACTTTGTCATTGAAGTAATGGTAAACTGTCAAGTTGGTTTTATCAAACCTCTGCTCTATGTATGTCCACACTGTAATATATTATTATTAATATTATTTTACTATACGTATATATGGATACGTCAGAAAGAATTACTGTTTAATACTAGGTTTAAAATAAAGGACTTTATAACATTTGTTCAAACTTTAAACAAAGCTTATCTTTGAAATGCGGTTGAAGTTAACTCAAGATACTGTAGCTTGTTATTTCTCCACTTAGGAATAGTTCGCACACTTGACCTCATTTAATAAATAACTTATACTAAAGTAAATACCATTTTAAAGATTGAAATTTACTAGAAAAGAAGTCACAAGCTTATGGCATTGGATAGCAAGTGATCTCCTAAAGGAAGAGGAATTTGTATAATATTATTATAAAAAAGTATATCGGAAGCCTCTTTCGTTGCTGAATACGTTGTGATGAGAATATTTATTGAACCTCAATATAGTGCTTCAGAGGAATAATGAAGGTAAAGGGATTTTTGTAGTTTGAATTTAAATATTTTGGTAACTGTATTTATTCCATATCATGAAAAACCTCGTATGGTCTTGGAGAGTAAAGGCCAACATACTGAGTATTCTACATATTTTTATTAGTCGTTAAGAAAGTAGTATAACAACTTGAAAAAGAAAATTAATACAGCAAGTCCTTTGAAATTTAATAAAAGTCTATGCGTGTTATTATTTAAAATGAAACTGTAAATTAATTAACTAACAAAATATTTTCATATTTATTACGCGTTTTTTATTATTTTACCTACTTACTCAGATTACATCTCCTTTGCGCGTAATCGTGGTTGCTGCATAGTAACCGAAGGGTCAGGTGTTTTAAAATAATTAAATAATACGAGAGTAAAATGCGAAAGTTTTCTTTTAATGTAAATGAATACTCACGAATTATGACTACTTTAAAAAAAGGGATATTGATTTATTTGAGTGTTAAACATATAGATGTAAAGTTTAAGACGCTAGTAAAACTTTTCTAATCTTTGAATGCAATATCGACTGGGACGTCAAAAGTTTATTGGTCCTTTGGTTCTTTGTTAATACCCGTTTAATCTTTGTGTGGAACTTTTAAATTGAATAAAAAGAAAACGTTCCGTAAATACTTTAAAACATAATAAATAAATTTAATAGCATTTCTAAATGTTTTTGTTGGTTCATATTTGTTTAAATGTTTACACATGTATAGTGTGATTAGTAAGATTTCGTCTAAATGAGAATTATAGAGGATAACATCTCTATCAAAGAAATAAAAGTAATTTATTAACATGCTGTCGTCAATTACATATTTAAAGGGTTGCTAACAATGAATATATGTATAAGTTACCATTATGAATGTTATTTATTACCTAAGCAAATGTACCGAAGTAACAAAATACGTTATAAACATTGTGATATTTTTGAAAATATTTTTTAATTCCAGGCAGTTAAATTATTAACTAATGATAAGACAAACTTGTCTAATTATATTGAATGTCTGTGAATGTTATTGTGTTTTTTTCCGTCTTTGTAATAAGTATTAAATTGGTCAGCATCATAACCTCAATACATTGCGAGTATTATATAATTTATGTAAGTATATATGCAGTATGCCTACTAAGTTGTTTTTATTGACGATTGTTTTCTGTCTCAGGTATCAGATTGTTTTTTGTAATTTATTAAGTTATATTATTATGTTCTTTACTTATTATTATACTCTTCTTTATTTTTATATGTATTTAATTAATAAGACTCCGAAGTTATACATTGTTTTTAGTGATATTGATACAATTAATGAAATGTTCTACCATTTTAAGCCTTAAATAATAAATATTTGAATGAACTGTTTTTGATAGGAACCTGGATATCTCTTAGTTTCCTTTATTATTTGATATGTTTAAAGCAGCAACATGTTAATTTTAAAATAGATAATATTGTTTTTATTATAAAGAAAGAAACTTTTGGTCATAAAACTGCCTATAGGATATCAGAGAATCGTTATGTTGTAGTCTCTTCAAATTAAACATTACATTACGAAAACAAGTTTTAACTTTTGATAGAATTTGTTCTTGAAGTTATATATTTTTTTAAATCTATTTTGACATTATTTGTCATAAAAATTTAACTTTAACTCTATTCATGTCGAAATTGAATTATAGTGCAAAATGTCTTCAAAGAAGATCCAATGTCATGTTTACGGATCCGTAAAACGAAGAAGAAACCTACAAATAAATCTTCTTATGTAGAAGTTGAGACTTGAGAACGTGGTTTTGAAAATGTTATACATTTTATATTGTAAATAATTTTTCATTTCATTAATGTATAATGTCACGGGTTAATGATGTTAAATATCTGTCTTGTAAGTATTGTAATAGAAAATAAATAATTATCATTAATTATACTATTGTTTAATACATTCTCAAATTTGTTCATTAATCCGTGTATTTTAATTTCATGTTTCCTCTGATTTAATACCTTCCCTTGCATATTTAAAGCTTACTATTTAAATCCTTGGTTACTAACAAAGTAAAAATTAACCTAACTAAGCTCTATAGCTAGATTCATGATTTCCACACAAATTCTTATATTCAATTGTATAATATAAATTGTTTTTTATTATCATTCTAACTCAAATTCAATTGAATTCTCTTTAAATGACACGACTATTATTTTTTAGCCAAATGGTATTTTTTTAGAGTGTAAATATATGTTACACAAAAACTTAACTAATCCAGTCAATATACCGTTCATAATAACTAGTTTGTAAAGATAATAATTATAATCTCTCCTGTGAACCTTTACTGACGATATTGACTCTCATTCTTTATTTACTTGTGTGAAGTGATTATGAAGTATTTACTCATACTTCAAGGTACGGAACCATCAGTAAGAAACGTCTTTATTACTTTGCTTACCATTTGGATAAGTTTATTTGTAACCAACTTTATGAAATGAATATTAAAAGTTAATACACACTACAGTCCACCATAAGTATTTGTACATATCATGGTTAAGGAACAAGTAGGAATTATATATTTTAAGATGTATTCAGTATGAGTGATACTAAAATTCTTACAAATAGCTTAATATAAAAGCAAGCATCCTTCTTAAATTTCCACTTAACTGAGCTCAGAAATTTTTTAATAAACCGAATTGTTTGATCTACTAGAAAATATAAGTTATTATGCATTTTTCTGCATAACAAAATATTTAACAAATAAACCTAATCAATGAATTTCGAACTAAGATGAATTAAGAAATATCCGTGTATAAATAATTAATACTCTGACTAAATAAAATAAAAAATAAATCACTTTATTTCCAGAACCATATTCCAATTTTACAAACACTTATTATTTAATGAATTTACTACACCACAAATAGACAAATAAGAACTTAAAAACTAAAACAAAGACCTTAAATTAATATTAATGTTATGAGCACAAGTTTGACCGCATAATAACCATTAGCATACCCCTTGATAGTGTGTGTGTATTTTAGACCAATGCTCTATCAAATATCCTACATTAATCCTCGAGCATGCCTTAACTAATGAATTATTGTTTTGAGTATATCTCTTCCAGGTGCTCGCAATTCTTACACGCATCAGTGCCCAGAAACCGTGTACCCTCCTTTCTGTGAACATTTCTGATGCGCTACAGTATCGTGGTAGTCCGAACAGTAATCGAAACGCGTTGTTATATCCCACCCGCATACCGTTAATGGCACTTTGTGTGTATTGGGTCCACAATTCGGCTGTATAGAGACACATACAATAGGTTCGAAATAATATAGATTTCACCTCATCAGTGCATAGTCTGAATCTTCGTGATATCATACTCGCGCGTATAGTTATTGCTCACCTTTGCCTGTTGATATCATCGACACCTGAGAGGTCGTCCCTTATTATATGCCCTTGATATTTTATGCATGAATCAATTTCAATAGTCTGTCCAATATCATACAATGATTAAGCCATGACGTGGAGTTATGTGCATCGCTAAGAAAGGTATATGAATACTTCGGCATCTCATCTATATCTATACAACTAAACATGTTTTCGTTTTGCGAACTGTAGTAAATCTTTGCCGAAGAGTCTCTGTGGATCGCATTAAAGTCTCCCATAATTATACAATCATGACATTCTTTCTCATCAGCAATTGTAATTATTTCACTTAAGCAATCAGAAAATTCTTCTAAATTGTCATTACATTCGGTAGGCATATACACAGTAATGAGTAATATGCTTGTATCAACGCCTTTAATATGTATAGCAGTTAGCCTTGGTGAATCGCATTTTACTGGTGTTGCATTAATATTTTTATGCCACAATATTGCTACTCCGCCGTAGGGTCGCCCATGATGTGAATTTGCCCGGTTCATGGCAGAGGTTCCCAAAGTATAGAAGTTGGGATTAATATTATCTAATAAACTTTATTCATCAGAGTGTAACCAAGTTTCCTGTAATAAAATAATATCTGAGTTTTTACCTAAATCTTGTATGAACTTCTGTGTTACGTTTAAACCCTTTAAAATTTATCGTAGTAATTTTAAGATTAGATATAGACGTCATTCTTTCGATTTCCACCCCCTTGATACTCTGTACGGTCTGAAAACTATTCCTTCGGGACAAAAGTCTTCATTTAATCATTCTTCTTAACTACGAGTTTAAACGAACGAAAGTTTGTTGGCATTTTTGATTGTAAAACTTCTACTCCCATGGCTTCTATACCTTTTTCAGTAAGATATTCTTTTATGTCATCTTCTGTAGTAGACGACTGAAACCTGGAGACATATATGTTGAATGTCATGTCCGCCACTTTTAATTTTATATTGTTGTTTTTACTCGTGCCATGTATATTAGGAATCCTCTTTCTCTTTCTTTGGACTTTAATAAACTCATCATCATCAACTTTTAAGTTTTCATTTGTATTTGATGTAAAATTATTCTTTGAGGTTAATTTGTTTGAGAACCGTAGACCGCTTTGTAAGTGAGGCATATCGCTATATGTATAATCCTTATTAGCACCGCCTTTAGTTGTGGCGCCTTGTCCCTCCTTGACCAATGCTGCGTCAGAGGGTATGGCCTTAACAGTTGAAGGCGACGCCTCCTGCGCGTACGCATTAGCGTGCGCCTTAGAGGCGGAGTCAGGTCGTTGACACTGCATGGGGTGAATGACCTATTCTCTGGTCCGTGACTCATGTCTCGTAATAGTTAATGCACTTTGTTGCATGTTTTTATTTAAAACTTTTAACGATTTAAATTCGTTGTTTAACCTGTTAGTTTCTTGTTGATTTGATTTAATTTGAGATCTGATTTGAATTGAGTTCTGATTTTGAATAGGTTTTTCAAAACACATGTCACATCCAGGTGGTCGAAAGTGACAGGTGGTACACGTGAAAGGTGTTTCGCCACAAAAATAGGCATATCATCTTTTTGTTCCCCTTCCGGTTAATCTTCTTTATAGTTGTATACTCATAAACAATAGATTTTGCCTTTTCTATCTCTTCTTCATTAAACCATGATGCCGCAATTTGTATCAGACTTATCTCGTCTAATACATCGCACTTATTTTGAAGAAATGTTAACAGTTCATTAACTAAAATTTTACACGAATCGCACATGTTTATTACGGATCTTTTGCACTTATTGCTACACTACGATTAGTAACTCACGAGACTTTTTCACAAGAGGCGTAACACTCGCTCGTAGGCGTAACCGCTCGCTACGAATATCGCGCGTGAAAAATGATAGCCTTTCTCAAGCTTACATACCTATTTTGTATAAACAGACCTAATAATAATATATTTTATTTACTTTAATTTTATATTTATAATTTTTAATACCCTAATATCACTTTTTATCAAATATTTAGGTTTAAGTGATTTAACAATTTTATGTTTATGGCAAAACTCATATATATATCCTATTTATCGCGATATACTCGTATACTCTTAACCAAAACAATCCCTCTTACACATTCTCAAGTAAATGTTTAAATAAAAGTTTCTAATATTTTGTTAAAAAAAAGGGTAATACAATTTTCTAATATCTCAACGCATTTTTAATGAATCACATATACATAAAATCTCCAATATCTGTAATGTTGTATAGCCGATATCTCTGATATAACGGATTAGGATAAAGCTATTTGACATATGCGAGTGACAGACTCATGAACCCGGAGGCAATTATAAGCTGATGCAAGCACAAGCTTTGTGGATGATTCCGTAATAAAATGTGTCAGTGTTAAAGAGAGTTAATTAAAATGTACGTTGATGATGTGATTATATTTACATAATACTGAGCTAGTGAACAGTTTTGTTTATAGACAGGAAACTACATTGTTTTCATTTATAGATGACTTTCCATTAAAGCACTCCGTAACAAATAAATATAGATAAATGTGTGTATACACTCGTAACTTCAATAAAACCTTTAAAACATAATAGATCTACTCAACAAAAAACACAAGAAGCGTAATATGTTTAAACGTTGTCAAGAAACTAAGTCAATTAAAAGTACAACTGATATTTTTTTTAAGTTTTTTGATACTTTAATTTAGGATTTTTGTATAAAAAGATAATAATTTACCATGCCTATTGTACAGATATAGTATTAACTTTTAATCATTATTTTTCTTTTAGTTTGTTAATAAAAATCCTAAACGTGGCTTATAAGTATTTCTTCTAGTTAAGTCCCTATAGTAACGTCAAATTATAATTATTTAATTTGGGAAATAAACATGACAAAAATATTTAATTACTTAGACTTATTTCAACGGCCATTTATCTAGAGAGTTTTACGCTAAAGAAAAGGCAATGTGTTTGGAACTCATGATTTTATAAAAGGTTTGAAATGTTTATGGAGTATTTATATACATACAGTACATGCTCTGTTTAGATAGAACGACGATAAATTCACAAACCATTCTTTTATTTACTCTGAATTGATGGAATTGTCTTAAGCGTCATAATAATTCTAAATTTTTATGACTATGACTACCGTATATGATCAACAATTAGAATAATTAATATATTAGTACTATTTTCACCATGCATTAGCAGGAGACATGTAACAAGCGTCGCTTTATCTCTTAATTTCTTAAATCTGAGTGTATGAAATTTTTACTTATCAGTCAAATTATGAACGAATCTAATAATTGTTCCTAAATATTATAATTTGTTTTAGTCTCGGCTTTTCAAATATCTCAGTAAATTTTATTTAAAATTATAAAATAATTTAGGTACTTAAAAAAATTATTTATGTGACTGATTTAACTCGAAATATAGAATATCGTTTTATCAATGAAACTCTGTGAAAGGGACAAGGTATGTTAAAAATATTTTTTTATTTGAGTTAATACGAAAATAAATATTATTAGAACTTATGTAATTAATATTTATTGCCGTCTTTATAGACTGTTAGTAAAATAGCTTTTCGAAGAAATGAAAGCTTTAAGACAGATTCATAAACAAGTATTGAAAATGATAGATATATAGATAGTTATCAATAAATTTAAGTTTTAATGATAATACATACTATATGAAGAATAATCCTGCAAAAAGATTATTTGAAACCGAAGAAAACCTAAGAGTTATTTCTTCCCATAATTCAACAAAATTGAACATGTTTTGTTTTAGGTACATAGACAACATAATTTTAAAAGATTGAACAGTGTATATTTTATCTAACAGCGTATATAAAAATCCGAAGATTTAATTTAAAAACTAAACAAACTCCCGATCCTTCTATAAATAGGTATAATATACAAATGTATATAACAAAGAAAATGATAAATATGTTGGAGACTAAAGGAAACCTTGGCGTATTGATAAGATTAGATAGCATTCACAAGATCGGTGTTCACACCATTCATGGATGGAAGTGAATAAACCGTTAATCTATTGAAACTATTGTCTATTGCATCAGTATTGTGTTGATATATCTTTATTAAAAAATAAAGCATTCCATTGGAATGGTATGTTCGATTTTATACAAAATATATATTTTGACAATCTAGATTTCCCAAGCAATTAGTTAACCAAAACCTATCTATCACTTTTATATTACAATAGAGTAAAGACGATTCAGTTTTTTAGATGATATTAATTGCCTTCAGGCTTAATTGAATCTGAATATTGTAGAAATTTAAACATTTTAGAAATTTGGCTTTTTAAAATCTTCTTTACTAACAAATAAAACTAAGTTGTATAATGTATAACAAATTTATTCAACGTTATGTTGTTGTCCCTGAAAAACCAGGACTAGCTTGTACTGAAATATTCTCAAATTTAACAACCAAAATCCCAATCATAATTATGTATGTTTACTTTAAATTCCTATTTAAAACAAAGCTGAACACAAATTTAAAATATGGCTTATCTTATAGGTCATTATCAGAGATCAAGGGAGGCTATGTTATATGTTTAAAAGTTAGTACTTTTACTTACTTCTAAGTCGTGGATGGATATAAAATTGACTCAATTCAGATACTAAAAGTGATTCAGAATAACGATATAAGGTTCTCTTATACGTACACATACACACACATATATAAACATATATAGAAACATACAAATTACGAACAATTTACACATACATTTTATATAGATACTTATATACTAAACTAATTGTGTCGTTTTTGTGTTAAAGTAAAATAAGGTATGAAACATAAAACATTTTTAAAAGAGATTACTAATTCCACTAAAATTGCACAGAACATTATTTAATATCGAAGCTCTGCTGTTATAAAACATTAATGATCTTCTGATAATAATTAAACATACAAAAGATTTTAATTTCATATTAAACGTAGATCAATTATTTTAATTCCACAATATTGCAGTCCTTATGTTACATTAAAGTCAATAAAATGAATATATTTGCAAATAAAATATTAAAAAAAAAAATGGGTTAAAATTTTACACAAACCCATTTATGTCCAAATACATTAAAATGAAATTTACTTTGCATATTTTATAAGAAAAAATCAAAACAAAGAATATTGAACTAACAACAAATTGAATTCGTTCATAAATAGTATTTCCTCCTGCTTCTGATGACAAAGATGAGTAGAATAAGGACACTATTATACAAAGTTGTGAATATTAATAGCGTTTGTGTTACTAGGTTCTAAACAATGTGTTGTCTTTGTGGTGAATATGAATTTTAAACTAAAACTATCATAAAAGGTACATATTTGAATCGTTTTAAATGAGATGTTCTTCTGTTTTACCCATTTGTTATTTAACTAATCTATATAATGTAAAGCTCTGAACATGTATAGATATCGATGTATACACAGATTTATATTTCTGTTGCTCAGTCACTTGAAAATTACTTTGAAGATCTTGATATAAATTAACAGTAACATAGTTTAGAAATCAGAATAGGATATAGGCTAAGATTTATCCTGGAAGTTCATGTAGTTCCTGCGGGATAGAGCACAACAATATATTGTGTACAAAGTATCTCGATTCTGACTATAGATGTCACTGTCAGTTGATTATCATATGTATTGTTTAATACATCTCCCTCTGAATCCAATTCACAAGATCTAGCAAAATAAGTAGCAAATCCTCTGTATATAAATCTGGACGCTTAAAGTTGTTAGAGCACAGTGTTTGCTGTGGTTGCAATTATATTTTTTCTTTAATAAAATTTTAAAAGGACCTCTGCACAATTTTTTTCTACTTTTATACGGGAAATACTCGTATATTAAATGTGAACGAATGGTGTGATAAATTAAATAAGTGCATTCCAAATTTCTTGCTCCCGTTTTAAGTCTCTTATTTTCCAGCCAGAACTTCTTTTACCTGATCTAAATAAAAATGTTGTTTAATTTTAATGTATGACTATGAAAGTGAAAGTTATTTATAATTATATAACCATTCGATTGAAACTGTTCTATAATCATTTGATTAAGGATATCAAAGCCTGGATTTTGATCTTAAACTAAATTGTTGTGTGATTTGAATGATGAGAGAAAAAATAATGAAAATATTAGACAAAACCTGTCTAAGTATAATAAATTGTTAGTACTTATCGAAAGATCAATTAAATTTGCTTATTCAAACTCAAACGTTATATCTATTACTCATATCTCTATATTCTCTCGACTTACTAAGAAAGTTCTCGTAAGTTAGTTAAATTGATTGAGCTTAT